CGATCTTGCAATCTTCCCTCCACAGGGTCCAGAATAGCTGGGATTACAGGCATAATTACCATAGTTTAAAAATTCTGTTCATAGCAGAGCTTGTTTTCGTGGAGCTTTGCTGAGAGATTAAAAGACAGGGCAAGATGGACACGATCCCAACCAGCCAGGGAAATACTGTTTGGTTATTTTTGACTTCTTGGGAGGGGGGGTAAAGAAAAAATAAGCAAAACAAATCTAAAATGGAAGGGGGTAAAAACTGCTTCCTTGTTAAAACCGTGCCCTTTAAAAATTCCTGTAATGATTGTTTACAGATGAAACACTGTCAATTTCCTATGTGTGTGCTGGCACTGAGGATTGAACTATGCTAAGCACACAACTCCTGGTCCCTCGTCACTTTTTAAATCATTTTTGTAAAACTGATCTGTGTTAGTCATCAGTACATATTTACATGTGTAAATGCTTGCCTGTCGCCCATGGCCTGCTCTGCTCCCTGTCTGGCGGGGAAGACTAGTGCAGACCCTCTTCACAGGCTCTGTGTTGGCTGCAAGTAGTGGGACATTTGAGGTGAGTGGCTTCTCCTTCTGTCTCTCAGCCTGCAGCAGCCTCCCCTGTGGCTCTTGTCTCTGCTGGGGCTCCAGCAGATCCCAGGGGCAGTAGCAGCTTCCTGCTGCTGCCAAACTCTGGCTCACCTAACTTCCCCTTTGTATGTGTCTCCTTGGCTTTTCCACCACCTGTGTACCTGTGTGCCAGTGTTAAGGTTCCTTGGGTGTTACAGGTTGAATATGAAGTGACCTCCACAGGCTCATGTGTAGTGGGGGCTTGGTTGTCAGTCACGGGCTTTTGGAAAGTGGTTGATCCATTGGCGTTTCCTCCTTTTGCCCTCATGTCAATTTCTAATGTCAAAATAAATGCACTAGCAACCATATCCTTCTTCTTCCTTGTTATAACAGGAAGGCAGAGTTGGGCTTAGAGAACTCCACACATCTCTCAGACACCAATTGCCCTGGACTAAAGCCTTGGACACTGGTGTGAGACACCCTTGACTCCCAGCTCCTGTCACTTGTGTGATGGTACACAAGTTATCTAACCTCTCTGAGCCTCAGCTTCCTTCATGATTGATGATAGGGAGATAATTTTCCTACTTCATATGATCAAGATGATTGAACAAAATAATGTACTCAAATGACTCAGCACAGTATTTATACACCGTGTGTTCTGAAAAGGAAGCACACATCGATGAGGAGGTCTCTTTTTCATTTTGTACATTTTTTTTCATATCGTAAGCTCATGTCAGGAGTCTGAAATGAAGTGAGGACTAGCACTTGCTAAACAGTCATCAATTTGCAGGGGTAGAATCCCAAAGGCGATGGAAGAAATATTCTCAATGGTACTGTCCAGTTGTTTCTTGGTTATCTGCTGGTGATTGGTTCCAGGACCTCCCCCTACCACCCATCCTCCAACATGATCTGAGGATGCTAAAGTCCCTCTTACAAAATGGGGGTGCTATTTGCATAGTAGCCCATCATCTCTAGATTACTCAAAATACTTGTATGGTGTCCATGCTACCAGACAGTTATTATACAGGATTGTTTGGGGCCTAATGACGAGCAAGTTCTGTCCATGTTTGATACAGAAGCAATTTCCTTTAGAATTTTTTCCATCTGTGGTTGGTTGAATCTGCAGATGTGAAACCCTCAGATATGGAGGGCGACTGGCTCTGAAACCTGCTGTGGCGCTCGTCTCGCCTTTGACCTTGGTTCTCCATCCTTGAACCTGTATTCATTCTGGAATAAGATATGCCAAGGTAAGAGTGGGGCTGGTTGTTATAAATATTAATTGGTGGATGGAATTGCCTGCTTTCAGTCCTGAGTTAGAGGACTGGTTAAAGAGATCATGCATGGGGACTTGGTGTAGTGACTTCTGCCCTGCCTTTTTCTAGCACACACTATCTTGTCTTCTATCCTTTTGCTTTTCTAAAAGGTAAGGTTATTCCCACCATGTTCATAAAACTTTCTCCAATTCCCTCAAACAAATAGGGTGTTTGCTGTAGTATACACTTGGTCGTTGAATTCCCCCAAGTGGAATTTCACAAAGAAAACTTCCCCCAGGCTCCTTCCCAAAGAGTACCCTGCCAGGCAGCCTGTGGCATTCTTGTTTTGTGGGAGCACTTCAAACAGCGTGCAGCCCCTGGGGTGCACTCTTCTTTGGCTAAAGACCAGTTTCATTAAGAAGCATGTTCACCCTTCAACTGGAACATTTAAAATAACACCCGCACAAGACATTTAGCGTCTAGTTAATTATAAAGTCTCTGAAAGCTTGAGTTATTCAAGCAAATTGATTGGGTTCAAACTTCTTCCTTCTTTTTGTGCTTTAAAAAAAAAAATTCTCCCCTCTACTCACTAAATAACGTGGAAAGGGTTATTTAGCAACCTTCAATACCCTGGACTGTGGGTGGTACCCAAGTGCTAACAGAATAGGTAAAGTGGACTGGCAGCTTGACTCTTTTGTGTCTGAGGCTGGGGGTGCAGCTTAGTGGCACAGTGCTGGCATAGCATGTGTGCAGCCCTAGATCCATCCCTTGCACCACCCACCCACATACAAAAAAATCTGCCTCTCATATACCTCCATACTAGTTAGCACTGATTGAAAAGTAACATGTTTTAGGCTCCTCTAACTTCTTGACACTTCTAAGTTTGATAGAGTCCCTTAGTGTACTGCATGGAAAATGCAGAACTATTCAATCTCACAGTGAGTCAAAATGCGTTGGCTTTACTACAAAAAGCTGTTTTGGTGAAGAATCTGAAAAGATGCTTATAATATATTCATAATTGTAAACCAGCTATAAAACTGTCCTTTACTATGTAACATTTTGTTTCAATGTGTAGGAAGAAGAATAATCAATATTGGATAATATCTTGTTTAGGATTACATTTTTCTTTTCTATTCCTTTTTTTTTTTTTTTTTTCAGAATTGGAGTTTGAACTCAAGTCCTCATGATTACCAGGTAGGCACTCTATCACACAAGCCCGACCCTCAGCCCTTTTTGTTTTAGTAACTTTTCTTTTTCATTCATTCTGTGGTTTGAAATCAGGGCTCCAGCTTGCAAAGCAGGCACTCTATCACTTGAGCCATGCCTCTAGCCTATTTTGCTCTGGTAATCTTGGAGATTGGGGTCTCATGAAATATTTGCCAGAGCTGGCCTTGAATGAGATTCTCCTGGTTGCTGCCTCCCACATAGCTAGGATTACAGGTGTGAGCCACTGGTACCCTACACTTTAGTTATTTTTCAAATAGGGTCTTTATATGCTTTTGTGCAGCCCCACATAGGTGGGATGACAGGCACGCACTGTCACATCTGCCTTATTTGTTGAAATGAGGTCTTGCTAACATTTTGCTTGGGTTGGCCTCTTAAACACCACTCTCCTGATCTTCACCTCCCAAACAGCTGGGATTACTGGCATGAGCCACTGAGCCCGTGGGGTTTTAAATTATTTTTATAATTCAACAACACACAAAGATGTCATGGCTGTAAATGATTGACCTTTCCTTTGAACCTGTTTAAATACCACTCATGTGTCAATAGCACACTGAAAATAATGCTCTCCTTACTTATGTTAGGCAAGCACAGACTTGGCAAGTGTAAATTGCACAAAGGATTCATAATATTTTGTGACTTACAGCAAGCTGAATGACTTCTGTTAGCCTTCATTTGTTTTTCCTCAGCTTCCACGTTATGGAGATGTAAAAATGTGTATTGCATGTATCACCATGGAATACGGGTGTGGAAAAGGAATATAAAACAGTTGTGCTTTGGAGGAAAGTCTCAGAGGAGATGTGATTTTGAGAGAACACAGAAATGTAATGACCCAGTTTAGCATGGGATCTTCCACGAGAATTCTGCAGGGAGCTCCCCTCCAACCAAGGTCAGGAAGGCCTGGAGGGGCCCTGCAGGCATCTGGTGCCTTCCCTGTGATTCCTGCATCGTGTCGTGGGTCACAGGGGCTGTGTGTGTTGTGCTGTGGGTCCTGGGTGACAGGGGGCTGTTGTATCCTGGGTCACAGGGGGGGGGGGGGGGGGGCTGTGTGTGTTGCGGTCACAGGCGCTGTGTGTGCCAGCAGGGGTGCGGGCCCCGCACCTGAGGCAGTGACCTTGGCTGAGGCTTGGGGACAGCACCTAGGCTATTTCCGGAGGAGGGAGCCCAGTCTCCACGTCGGGACACCTTGGGGACTAGGGAGGGGGCATCCCGGAGCGGACGGCAGCGCAGCCGAGCCTGGTGTCATCTCTGTTCTGGGGAAGGGCACAGAAAAGAGGCCTCGGGCGTGGAGAAGCGGGGAGCGCGGGAGCGGCTTGGGAGGCCCAAAGGGTGGGCGTCTGGGTCCGGGGCGCACGTGCGCGCAGGTGGCGTCTCCGGGTGGCGGAGGCGCCGTTCCCAGCCGGCGCCACGTCCGGCCGCAGCTCCGCGTCCCCGAATCCCCGTATCCCGCGCTGCGGCACGGCGGCCTGAGCGCCTCCAGCCCCGCCGGCCCGCAGGGCCTGAGCTCGGCGCTGGGCGTCCGCGGCTCCGACGGGTGGGCGGGGCCGTTGCGGCTCCGACGCGCGGGCGGGGGCTCGGGCGGGCGCGCGGCGCCGCCATCTTGGATCGGCGGCGGCGCCGGGAGCGGCGTCGCGCGGGAGGGCGGGGAGGCGGGGCGGGGGCAGGGCGTGGCCGCCAGCCGGGCTGCCGCAGCCTCCGTCCACCGCGGCGGCCGCGCCCCCGCCTCCTGCGCCGCGGCCGCCTCCCTCCTCGTCCGGGAAGATGCTCGGAGCCCTGGGGTGCGGAGAGGCCGCCGCCGCGCCCGCCGCCCGCGCCCTCTGAACCCTCCAGCACAGCCCTTCGGCCCGGGGGCGCCGGAGCCCCTCGGGCGGCGGCCGCGGGGCGGGCGGGGACCCGGGCTCTGTGCCCGGCGCGGCGCGCGGCCTCGGCATGGAGCGGGCTCGCGGCCGCCTCTCCGCGTAGCCGCCGCCGCCCGCCCGCGCCCGCGCCGCCGCGCCGCGCCGCGCCGCGCCGCGGCCGGGCCCGGAGACGCCGAGGACGATGGCCGCGGTCCCGGGGGCCCGCTGCAAGCGGGGCTGACCGCCGAGCCCACGGCAGGCGCGGCGGGGAGGCCTGAGGCCCCGCTGCGCTCCCCGCGCCCCTCCATTGCTCCCTCCCGGGAGGCGGCTGCGGTGCGGCCGGGACTTTATTCAGCCATGATGCAACCGGCTTCGCCCCGGGATTGTGCGGCACGCGCTGGGTAGGGAATGAAGGAGGGAGGAGCCGCCTGGTTGTTTTTTAAAAGAAGTGTTGACTGCAGTTCGTTGTACTTGTAACTCTTGCCTTGTTTGAATATCCGGCTGAGTTCCTCGTTTCCCGTGCGCTAGATGGTCAGGCTGCCCCAGGTGGACATGTCTCGGGGTGGAATCCAAGACGCCTCGGATGTTTAGTTCAGCCCCGGCGTTGCGTGACAGTTGCCGGGATAACAAGTGGTTGCTTTTGAGAACCGCCCCTTCGGGGACTTGGGCTCCCGCAGACACCGCGAAGGTCGCGCTCGCGGTTAGGAGCCACCATGTCCGGGGAGGTGCGCCTGAGGCAGCTGGAGCAGTTGATGCTGGACGGGCCGGCGCGCACCAACGGCCAGTGCTTCAGCGTGGAGACCCTGCTGGACATCCTCGTCTGCCTCTACGACGAGTGCAGCAGCTCCCCGCTCCGCAGGGAGAAGAACATCCTCGAGTACCTGGAATGGGGTGAGTGAGCGGGCGCCCCGAGACCCGGGATGGCCGGCCGGGGGCTGGGGTCCACAAAGAAGTACCTGGTGGCAGTGAAAGGACAGACACCGGCTGTTCTCTACCCCCCCCACCCCCCACCCCCAGTTTTTGGGTCAGGATTTCCAGGAGTGAAAGCAGACTCCTTAGTTGTTGCCTTGATGGAAGGCCTGGCTGGTGTGGAACTTGGGTTTTGAGGTCAGCACTGGGCGATCGAAGTGAATTCTGGAATAGGCAGAAATGGCTGTCGGCCCCGGCTTGCCCAAGGCTCGGCAGGAGCCAGCCCCTCGGTGGGAAGGTGTTTGTGGGTGGAAGCACCCCGCCCAGTCTTTGGAAGTCCCTGGGGCGGGGATGTCTGTGGATCTCAGGACGCCGGGGACGTGCAGGTGCGGGCGCTGGGCCTTATGTCGTCTCCGTGTAGCACAGGCGAGGGAAAGTACTACGCGTGGTCCTCCCGTAGCTTGTAGGTGTGACTGACAGTGGTGATGGACGGGGGGCAGCTCCCGCACGAGAGTCCGCTCTCCCTCCACGTGGAGTTCCAGTCCAGCTGGGACTGGCCGGTTGTGGCTCCATCTTCCAGCCGCACCCCCGACTTCCAGGACCCGGAGTGGCCCGTGAAGGTGCAGCAGACGCCCGCGTGACCTTCGAGCTTGGAGGCTCCGCCGGAGTTGTGCACCGAGCGCAGCCCGACGGCCAGGCTGTGCCTTCCCCGAAACGTACTTCGGGCCTTTGGAATATCAGCAGTTTTACTTTGTCGGGACGTTTTTATTCTTACATATGTTTGTTTCCTAGTAAAGCTTTATTTTCCTGATTAAAAGTCAAGTGCTGATTGGATTTTTTTCCCTTTGGATCTGAAATTTATTAAAAATTAGCTTCTCAGGCCAACCGTTGATTGAAGAGCGCCTACACACAATGATTGTAATGCTTCAGTGTTTGTGTTAGAGGATCGACTGCTGCACCATGATGTCACGAGCTTTAAAAATACGTAAATGTGAATGGGATGATTTTTAAGAAAACAGATTACCAGTGTCATTCTGGGGAAGTCAGAGAGGTAAACCATTCTCAAGCAGCTTCTCTGTTCAGCATAAGATAATCTTGACAGTGGTACTAGTTTTGTGAGCATATGTCTTTCCATATATAGGGTAAAATATTTTATAAAGCATTTGATTTTATACGCCGTGTTTCATAAATTTTGGATTCTTTAGTGTTTTCTTTTTGAAGACTTAAAAGGTTTGGGTGTGTTTGGAGTAGGAGTTCTTAAATTCTGATTCCATCCTGACACTCCACCGTGATCATGGTTGCCATTGAATATCCCCCCTCCTTTGCAGAACAGTATTACCAGTGGCAAGTGCAGTTTTACATAATTTACAGTAAAGAGAAAAACATTTCCTCCATTGTCTTCCAGTTATCAGGGTTTATGTAGTAGTTTCATGCTATGAGATATTTTATTTCATTGTTAAGATAATTTATGTATTTTCCATTAAACATGTTTTCTTGGATGTTGTTTCTTCTATATGTAAACACACACACACACACACACACACACACACACACACATATTTGAAGCCAAAAAGAAAAAAATTAAGTATTAGGCTGCTTTTGTTATATTTTTATTAATGTATTACAAATAATTCAAGCCAGGGACTTGTCACAATTGAAAGTTTTAGTAGCACCCTTCACATTTTGTCTTTTTAGATGTCTGCTGAATGGTGTGATAAAACTGGACAGGCTTTTAAACTCATTGGCTTTCAACACTTAGAGAGGAAGAGACTTTGTAAGGAATTTTTTTGTATATTGTGGGTGGGGTAGTTCCCATCCACATGCTGGAGATGGAGCCCAGGGCCTCCCACAGGCTCTGCCATTGAACTGTACTTCCAGTCCTCAGGAGTTTCTTAAGTTGGAGTGTGAGATCTGCAAAGCAGGGTGATCAGCAGAGAAGCTTGAGTGAAGAGCAAGGAAAGAAAGTTGAGAATAGAAAAGCTGTGAATGGATGTGTAGGTGATACCATTTGCCAAGTTATTGGGAAAGTTAGGTCACGAATGATTGCACCTTTTCATTTAAGTTTTGAAATAGCTGTTCTTCAGTATGAGTTGATTATTACTTTGGGGAAATGTTCTATTTTATTCTCTTTACTTTTTATAAAACAGTGTGTCAATTAAGGATGTTTCCAGATTGTGAATTGACCTCAATTTAACTTTTAAAAATACTGTAGTTATTATTACTATTGCTATTACTTTTCTCTGGTAGAAATTTACAGGGATTATTTTTGGGATTAAATTTGACAGCTTAGATTTGCCTTATGTATCATTTTTAGTTTGATTTTGACAATTAAAAATATTGGATCTTTAAAAGACCCAACAATTGCAATAGAAGAGTAGTGTAGTTAAACTCTTTCTTACATAGTAAATATTTATGTTTGGGATTTGATATTCCTTATTTTTATGTTGATGATAGGTTATTTTTAAGAAATGGAGTGAGCTGAGATTCTCTTACTGCTTCATTTCCATCAAGTTCATTTTATTCCTAGTTGTGGTTCATTTCATTTTTATATTAGTACATTTAATGTTTTGTTTGTTAACAGTATCATGACAATAAGAAAACTAACAATTTGGTCAGATATGTTGACTACATTTCTTGTTTTAGGTTCTCATGGCTTGGGGGGGGAAGGGATTAAGTGAAGCAGGAGAGAAGAGGGATTAATCTAGTGAGCACTCATTCAAGGGGATGAGAGCACCTGAGATCATAGTCACTTTTAACCTTTATAATATATAGTATTTTCTAGCTATTGTCGGTATTTCTAGCTGTTGTCTCCTTTGTTTCTTTGTTGTTGAAATGATTACTGTTTGTATGTTAGTTTATAGTCACTGATGTCAATGGTATAACTGTACAATAAGTTATAGTAGAGTTGTAGAAGTCAAGTAACTTTTGTATTGTAAACTAACTTGGTAGTAGAGATGACTGAGTTTGTACTCTCTTCTTTGAAATGGGAAATTGGAATTTTAGGGAATTCTTTACCAATTTTATTTTTAAAAATAGAGGTGAGATAATTTATTCAGTACAAAAGAAATTTGCAAGGCTATCTGTATGTGGATGACTGTTTTTGGTATTTTTTGATCTTAACTGTAATATTTCATAGTATCATTAAATAATTTTATAGCTTATTCAGGTTTTATGTGTGCAATAGACAGAGAATAGTGTTATTAATAAACTTACTACTTGAGCTTATTTAAGTAGTAAGTACAGCACATTAGTAGGCACTGGTATAAACATTTTCTTTTAAAGAGTAGTTTCAAACCTTATTTACATGGGGGAAAGGGGTTAATTGAGGTAAAGATAGCTTGAGAAGCAGGAACTGAATCTTTTTAGGATACTTTGTTTTACATGTCTATTGTTTCCCACTGGTAGCCTTTCCTGAGTAGAATTTATTAATCATAGTAAATTACCAAAATATTCATTGACTACAGATGATGAAATTCATGTTTATGTAAGTTCTCAATTAGGATCATCCTAAATGTCTTCAAAAATACAGGTTGGGCACTTGTTTTCTTTATACTTGTCTATTGTAAAATACAGTGATTTTATCTAAGACAATGCTGGCACATGGTTAGGAGTATGTTCAATAGTGGTGGGTGATTACTGTCTCTCCTTCTGATTCCTTCCCTCTCCTGCTCCCATTCACTCTCCCTCTCACTCTCTCCTTTTCCCTCTCTCTCAGGCTTAGAGAGGTGGTTGCCTAGACAACTTGAGATACTGATTACTAAATTATTTTAAGGAACATTGACTTTTTTTTTCTTTTTAAAAGAATATTGCTTTATGAGTGAGCACAGGGTATCAGTATTAACAATAAGAATTTTGGATCTTTAGTTATTTCAAATGGAAATTTGTGGTATGCTTTACCATTGCTGATATGAAACATGCCATAATATGCTGGAAATTTTATGAAATGCCTCATAAATCTTAGGACTTGATTTCTGTTATACAGTAAGCCCAGTCAATGTTGGGGTAAAAGAACTGAATTTGGCACAAATTAATATTTTATTATACTACTATTATGGAAGTCACAGTTTTTTTCCAAACATTTTTCTCTTTTGGTATACTTACTGCCAGTAAGCTGTGCATGAAGTACATTGGTTTTCATCTTGCTGGTTATGATAGGTTTTAAAATCAATATACAAAGTCTAACCATTATTTCAAAAAATTAACTATACTAGAATAGAAAACATCTAGCTCATGACACATAGAGAGGACTGTCTTGCAAACATCTGTGTTTTCTTATATTTCTTACTCTTGTATTTCTTATAGACTGAGATCTAAAGAGCTTGAAACACCTTAATGTAGGTGAGCTGTAGTATTTGATTGCATAACAATAAAAATATTACAGATATAGTTCCTTTTTTCAGAAAGGACACAGATGAATTAAAGACAGAAGAAGAGTTTAACCAAGGGGAGTGTAGGTAGATACCAGATACTTGAAAGGGACAGGAAGAAGAGGAGGAGGGAGGGAGAAAGGAGGTGAGGAGAAAGGGTAAGGGGAGGTAACGAAGAGGGAGAGGTAACGAGAATGACTGTATTGTGTTCCCAAGTCGCTACTTCAGTCTGACCTGTGACTGATTGGGTATTTTAATTTAGAAGAACTTACTGGGCAGATGAACTAACTTCACTCTTTGCATTTTCTTGCATGGTTCGTGGCCTCTATTATTATGCTTTCCTGATCTTGGACTCTGGAGTGTTAACTTTCATTGATTGTCAGATGCATATTAGCTTGTTGAACTTCAGGGATAACCATGTGACATATAAAGAATGGTAGTAGTTTCTTGGCTACATCTTCCCACTACTACTATCTATCTACTCTACGATAGATTTAGGTGAGGAAGGATTGGGTAGTTTTTTTTTGGTGGAACTGGGGTTTGAACTCAGGGCTTTGCACTTAATAGATTTTCTTTATTATTTGTGAACTGCCAGAGAGAATGACTTTATGTTTT